GGGGGGGTACTCGCTTGTATGAGCTATTTAGGTATGTGTGGCCCTAAAGGGTATGGTAACTTTTCAACCGTTTTGGTCATAAATAGGGTATCGATTTTAGCTGATTTTAGCCATTTTGGTCATAAATAGGGTATGGATTTTGCACTCTGGCCTTGATGGGTATGTTTTTAAGAAGAAGCCACTTTTTCATCATTATCGAAAAGAAAATCAACAAAAACCCCTCACAAATTATGTTAACGGCAATTTAATATTGGTCTGAACTAGCGAACTAATAGTAATGCAGGTCTGAAACAGGGTTTTGATGTAAGAGTCAGGTCATAAGTAGGGTTTTGAATTTTTGGTCAGGTCATAAAGAGGGTAGGGAGTATGACCAATTTTGGTCATAAACAGGGTAAGGGTTTTGGGAAGCGGGCCACACATCCCCGTCCAATTGTTCCGGGTGTACCCCTCGGGGTGAGGCCATCAGCTTGTAAGGCAGACTAGTAGCTCTTGGTGCTCATAGTGCCAATGAATTCTGCAAGGGAAGCTGTTATTATGTTGGTTTCTGCACCAGTATCAATCATGATGCTTACAGAATGGTGGTTGTAGATCAGAAGATGTGGAGAAATGGGGACCAGGAGATGTTCACACAGCAGAAACAGTATGTTCCTTTTGGACTAAGCACTAAATTTTGTTAGTCTCTGGATGGTCTAGGAGGCTGTATTGATCATATCCCCACCCATCGATCATTGTCAAGGCCAGAGATTAATTTTGAAAACATAGTCAGTCAGGTGGAGGTGGTAATGACCAAGGTGATGACATGGGGGAGGAGACTGAAAAGTGTCTTTTTTCCAAACAAGTCCATAAACATTTAATTTTTTTGTGCCAGTTTTGGGGCTGCTTTCATGCATTGCTTGCACGCTTGAAGAAAAATAACTCATAGCAGAAAAATAAATGTCTGTGAATAGATTAGAAAATTGGTTCTCCCCACTTACTCAAACTGAAATCATTTTCCATTGGACAAGCTTCTTCTGTCATTTACTATTGGCTGACTCAGGTCCCTTCCATCTCAAACTATTTTTGTTTCTCTTAAGGTAGGTCATAACAACTGATATTGCTACCCTTTTTCAGTTTGTGATTTTTGTCTATGCCATTTAATTTCAGTGTTAACTAAAGATGAGTAGCAGTGTGAATCTATCAAAGTAGTGTTCAGAACAGGCTGGCAACTGTTGCGAGCCACCTTAGGAATTTGCAATTATTATAGCTTGGTTCAATGATGTATAGGTTATAACTAGCTGTTTGCTAGTACTATCGATGTGTTCAACAAGCTGATTGATTATGACTAGTTGCAGTGTAAAACAAAGGCCTTTGAATAATAATTCTACTTTAATATGGTTTCTCTGAATCTTAATTCATTTCAGAACTTGAATTGGACAGATATAAATTTATTGTCCAGGTAGTCATTGGTGAACAGAGAGGAGAAGGAGTCAAGTAAGTTTTGTATAGATATGTTCCATATAAATTGTGGAAATTAGTGAACTTATATTTTATTAATATTGTATCATTTAAAAGTACTGTTAGTGTCTCACTAATATTTAGTGAGATGACCAAATACATCTCATTCTTATAACAGGCAAAAATATTCTAAATTCGATAGAGGTAAGGGCACTGTGTTTGAGCCTACTGGCCTTGGCTGGTGCTTACATCCTTTTTTGTTACCATAGCATGAAGCGACAAGGAGTAGTTCCCCCCCCCNACAGGGTTACCCCCAGGATTAAATTTGACGGTACCCATGTATACTCCAGGCTAGGGAAAGGCACTGTGACAGTAAAGTGTCTTGCCTAAGAATACAGCACAAGGAACCTGTTTCTGGTTCCAACCTGGACTCACTCAATCTTGAATCCACCACACTAACCATTAGGCCACAATGCCTTCCACAATAATATTCAAAAGGATTTTTTTCAAATATTTGGAGTTTCTTAGGTTTTTCAATAAGTGTATGATTTAATGGAACATATTGAATTTTAAGGCCCCTTTTTGCATCTCTGATCTGGGGAACTGGAATTGATGATGATGAGTTTCACTTTGTTTTTCAAAGTTTTGACTTACAGGGGAAGATGAAGAATACATACCAATAACTACAGTCGAAACCCACAGTCAAACCACTCTTTATGACGACCTGACTCGTTGACATTTGTATTTCATTTTGCTTTCATTTACAAAAGCCTGTGTCACCACTACAGGTCATCGCCTTGTGGTCACACCTCTGATGAGTGACTGCCTCCCATAAGTGACATACATGTTTTGTATCAAATTTTTTTGTCACCTTACGGCAGGTTTCACTTCATAACTCTGTTTCAAACCAAGTTCTAATACAGTTCTAATAATTATCGTTCATTTTCAGGGTAGCGTGCAGATGCCTTTGGGATTCAGACACAGACAATTACGCCCAAGATGTTTTCATGAATGTAAGTTTAGAGTTAACACACATCTTTCAAACGAGAAAACAGTGCCTTTGTCAGCCAGAATCATCTACATGCACAAAACTTGCAATCTATAAACCCCACCACAGAGTAAGCTCCTTTCACTGTCTTCTTATTTTGTGCATCATCTGTTTATACATCAGCCCAATTTTTTTAAAAATTAATTTTAGCTGTCTTGTTCCTGTTGCTGATAATCCAAACAAAAAAGCCTTTAACTAAGTGTGAGCTAATAGCTCTTGTTTCAGTTATCAGTGGTTTCAAACACAAACAAGGTGAAAAGGTGAAACTGCTTTCTAGTGTTAATTGACTCTTTTACCTTGTCTGTATGCCTTGTTAAACAAAGGAATATTTCACTGCAGACTCAACTGCAATAAAAGCTATGTTGAAAATTACAATATGACACTGAAGACAGGTTTGGCTAGGCAAGTGGCAGGGAAAAATAGGCGTGACATGCTAAGAGAGTGGATAAGTCACTTTTAGGGGATTTGGGAACAAGATATTCTCATCTCACTTCCTCAGTTCCTTTACAGTTGAGCCTCTTGCTTCATTGCTTTATGCTTCATGTTCCCTCCCTGTGCCTACCTGTGCCAGCCATCCTGGTCTCAGTTATCCAAAGGATAAATAATGTTTAATCCAGTGGATAGCATTACCCACTCATTGAACAACTGGGCCCAGGATACAGCAGAATATTCAATTCCTAGGAACGTGCAAATGTGTTTTGTGCAGAAAATATTCAGACCCATAGACAAAAAAATGTTTGGTTTGAACCCTCCTATCTGGAAATTCCAGGTTAGTTCATGTAGCTTCATACTTTTCTTTGAAACCCTGCCCCTCCCCCCTTCGGAATTTTCTTTACCCCTCTTTGAGGTGGGTGTGGCTATTTTCTGGAGCTGCACAATAGAAGGTGCAGGAGTTTGACTTGCAATGAAATTATTGCATAAAATTATATTGCAGTGAAGCAAATTCAGATCAGTTCAAGTTGACTAGTATTAATCTGAGTTAACTGGGGTTTATGTTATGTGGAGCTTACCAAAAAGTGGCTTTCATAATCAAGAGCTGCCAGGTGGCTGCAGCTTAAATTTTTATCATCATAATTCACGGTTTTTTATTTTGATTAGTGCAATAAGTAATCAACAGGCAGCTGCGATAATTTTAGCAAACGTTTTAGCTACTTACAGAGAGTTCCTGAGATAATGATGCCTCATGATTGGAAGCTTGATATTAAAACTGTCGTCAGTTTTGACATGTATCTGTGTGTTCTGTTGCTTAATGATCATGTTGTCAAAATAACTGGACCAAATTAAAGATACATGGTGGCATTGTCTCAAATACTTAAGTGCAGAAACCTTATGAAGTGCATGCACTAACATTGTTTATCTGTGCACCCTCTGGTTTTCAGATTTAAGTCTTATCTTTGTGGTTTTGAGCGCCAATATCCATCTGNTCTCTTGTGGAATCTTGATAAATTAATCCGCTTTGGTACACATCTGTCTGTTCTGTTGAATGTCAAATAGCTTGACCAAAGATATATGCTACTTTTGCCTCAGATGGTTAGTGTAGAAACTTAGAGAAGTACTTAGAGAAGCAACTCTATTTAAAAATCCATTACCTGTTGATAGTTTTAAGAGATAAAGAATAAATGTGATACCGAGTAAATGCATTGTGTCTATAATACAGGCAACAAATGCAAGGAATCGCGCGTGTAATATTTCGATATAATTCTATATCATCTTCAGACTGAGGTGACATACAGGTAGCAGAAATTTAAACACTGCAGGATGGTACATTAGCATTAGTACCTGAAAATACAAAACAAAGACGGTAAAATCAAGTATTTCCTGTGTGTCCTTTGAGTTTTTTTCGCTTCGTTCTGGTTTCTGGTACACTCGTCCATTGATGCTTTTTAGAAACAAACATTGACCACTGGATTGCGCTGGAGTTCTAAGTCTGTTGTTCTAAGGCAAGGCACTTTTCTCTCACAGTGCGTCTCTCTAGCTATGAGTATTACTGGTTACTGAACCTGACAAAAATATTGGGCGTAACCTTTAGTGTACTACCATTGAATTGTTCATTATTTGAACCACCGACAGAAAACCAGTGAGACATCAGACTTGGAACAGAGTCTTCACCCAACGACAAAGACGTGTTCATTGTTATCTCCTAAACAGTAGTATTTACACTTCACATCACTGGTCATACTATTTGAAAAGACAAATCATGGAAAAAATCTCCAAGTTGAGCCGAGGCATTAGCAGGCATGACCACCCTTCGTGACAGTCTCAGACCTCTAACCTGTCGTCTTTTATGTTGTCTTTCCAAACTTAAGCGGCTCAAAGCATGGGAGCTACATGGATTTGCCAGAAGAAACTGTCTGCATGTGGTTAGCACATTCAAAAGAAGATTTTAATTCACAATAACTATCGACATTTTTGCAATTCCTGTTCTACATCAGCACATTGCCGAACAGAAGGCGACCAGAAGAAAGAAATCGTCAAGTCGAAAATACGGAGTGTATTGCGTTCATTGAACGTCAGATTCTTACAAAAAGCTCTGAAAAGTAGTAGTGGTATTTGATAAGGAGAGTTAGTATTTTGAACTTAAGCCTAAAAGAGTTGAAGAAAACGTAGATTTTGCACAAACGCCAAAACGTACTTTTCGTGGATTTGGTGCAAAAATGTTTAGCCATTCCCTGCAGAAAATTTAATTTAGTCTGCATTCTTTCAATTGTACGCGTATTAAAACCTGCTTAAAATACTTAATCTAGTTCTCAAGTCTAGCACTGAAAGGGTGGATTAATCAAACATGGATTAAAGACTTTGTCATCAAGGAAAACCAGACATTCCCATTAGCTTGCATTCATGGCTCTGTGCTTGGTTTGTGTCAATAATGACTGCGGCAAAGAGCGTACACAAAATTTTGATCACTTAATTGTCGAAATGATTAAAAACGTACTTTTTGAAACCTGCTGAATGAGAATCACTAAAGTATAAGAATCAAGACAGATTTGTTATCACAAGCTTTGTTTCACAGCTAAGTAATCGTCACGAATTTAATAACTTGTCTGAAAAGAGATGAAAAAACCTTTTTGCACGCAAACAGGAACCATGAGATTCGCGTCGCCTCAGGCTGAAAACAGTTTTTACTCACGAACACGTCGACAGAGCAGTTGTCTTTTAGACGATAAATTTAGCCCAACTACCAGCTTTCCTTTGCTGTTTCGCCAAACTTTCCCCGGTGTTCAATAAGCAGATAAAACGTCTCTACTTTCAATGCTGTAGTCATTTTTCTTTTATCCAAACACTCAAGTTTATAGAAATTCTTACAAAACTAAGTAATCTCCAAGGTAGGCACTCAAACATTCAAAAGCTCATCATTTAGAATACAGCATAAGCTAATTGTGGAGGCTCCGTCAACAAGTGTTTTTCCATGCACTCAGCGAAAAATGTAACTGAGAGCACTGCTTAGGAAAACATAAATTGGAATTTGAGATTGTTTCTGTAGACCCCATCAGTAGAATAAACACAACCATATGCAGTCTTGTACTCACCAGCCACCTTTATTTGAATCGTAACATTTCGCATTTTTTCCATCAGCAAAAGCGTCAGTCACTCTTTTCTCAAAAAGGTTCATGCTGACCACAGGGGCTAGAATATTTTGGGACGTTCACGTCTCTCTGATGTGAAACTCTCTTGGGTTTGGTCACCGCGCTATTAGCTTTACGCCATAACCGTGAAAGTTAAACCTCTCATCGATAGCTTTCGCTTTCAACAAGGCAATAATCGCCAGAACTATTTCTGCCAAGCGGAAGAGATTTCACTCATCATCAGCTCACGGAAATCTCACACTTCTTCGCCAATTCAATCCTGACTTTTGTTTGTGTGCTATCGGTGAACAGCGCTGCAAGAATATGCTGGAAAAACTGCCTGCATGACCTGCTCATTCGGAAAGCTCACCTATTGGGCTTTCAAGTGATTGACAGACATTGGATTTCGATTTAAGAATCAAAACCACGCAGGACTCAGTAAATTCCTTGCCAGGGCAATACATACAGTGTAGGAAATTTTTAATGCGTCACGTTTTTCTCTTGTTTTTCTCACGTTTTTCTCTTGAAAAAGTCACAGTTTGAGGGAGAACGTTACAACGCTACCATGTGCAGCGTCGTTTTACTCTCCACAAACAACACACTTTCCTAAAATGCACTTTTCTAAATACTAAAGAACTTTCTGTTTCGGCCTTACCCTAAGTTAGTGTCTTAAAATAGCAGTTTGCGATCAAACCTCACGAGTATTTTATCCTATTATGGCTGTCGCAGGGCGACATAAGTAGAATTCTACTGCAGTCTATAAAACATGAAAGCGTGACAATAAAACAGCCATGTTAACCTTCACCGTAAATTAGGGATATTGTAAATCGAGCAAGAAAAAGAATTTAGCAGTAAGTTATGTTAGCGAAAAACATCGCTCTTTCTGCAGGTATTTACGTGATTTCTTTTGTGCGACTTACAGTTTGTCGCTGTTTGCCGCACCTGCCCGCAATTGTTCGTCGACACGATCCGTCCATCTTATTGATACAAACGGACACTATTTCTCTTAGTTTAACTTTCCTCTGATTAGTTTTCAGGCAACGAAGACACTAAAAAACTTTTTAATTGTAGATCTTTCTGGTGTTTTGTAACAAAGCTTGAAATTCCACGAAAATGTTTAGAGAGTGAGAGTTGATTGGTTGTTTTTTAAAACAACACCCGAGCCTCGTCCTGCTACCAGACAAAGATGATCTTTTCAAACAATCCTACAGAGCAGAAGTGTAGCGCTAGATGCATGGTTGCGTAGCAAGAAAACATATTTTAGTTTTCCATTTAGCAGGTGTTTTCAATCGCAGCTGGAACGTTCCAATTGTGTTGTAACAAATACACTTTGTTTTTGTGCTCGGTTCTCGCCAAGCCCCATTGACGGCGAATTCCTTTGTCTCAATTTGTATTACCTACGCGCGTTGGAAAATTCGGGAATTTGAAGCGGCCTTTCTCTAGCCACTTGCCTCCCTCGCAGTGCGCGATAATTGGAGTGTTTGTCTCTGCAAAATGAACTTAGTTTTTCGCACAGACAGTTCCTGCGGTGCTTGATGCAAAGAAACGATAAATATCGGCTGTTGTGACATATTTGTTTATTTGCCAAACTTGTTTCAAAACAACGTAGTAAATTTGCCCGAAAATAAGAAAACTTTTGGATGCTAATTGCAAAAGTTTAACACTCGTGATATTACAACAAGCGACTATACGGACAATAAACCACCAATGTTCATAGCCCCTGGGCACTTCTTGAATTTAATGTCGTACAAAGGCACGATTACTTCGTTCATTCAAGTCGTCGCACGTTGTTAAGTTAATGTTACATAACCTAACAGCTTTTATCCAGGCTTTTGTTAATCCTTTTTGGCGCGCAATCTGTCAGTAAAATCACGACCTGAAAACTGGACGTTTAGCTCGCGGTGCCCTTTTGTCATTTGGAGTTCAAAATTGATTGTCGGCTCGCGTAAACCAACCGATATCGTGTTGTTTCGTGGCGTTGTTGTGTAGAAAACGCGCTGCGGTAACAAATTTGCAAGTTTTCGAGACAACGTAATCCTGTTACGGACGAACGATCAACAACCTCGACCACTGTTATATAAACACAGAGCGCCTGAAACAATGCGACTTAACCGCGACAGGTGTGTTTGCTAATAAAGAGAATGAACTGAATGCTGCAAGCTTTTGTGGCCAGAACATGTAGTTTTCTCACGGTTTGTTCCCACGACCCCGCTTCAGGCAAGCATCTAATAATCGCGACGACGTTACCGGCAAAGCGCAACGTCATTAGAAGTGTGGCTTTTTCCTTGTTTAGCAAAAAAGCTATTTGCATGGGGTTTGGGGTTTTAGCGCGGCATGTGAGCAAAAATAATGCGAAATAAACGAAGTGCGATACACCGGAGACTGTCAAGCCCCCTTCGGAAACATTTTTCGGTACTCTTTGAGAGTTGCAATGAGCCCCCGTTCTAGCTTTTGAGACAGACAGCGCGCTGGACTTCATCATGCTAAGAGGCGCAGGGGCGCTTGGCAACAGACCATATCGTGTGGAATCACATGCATCGGGGGGTTAATTTGCCTGCGTGGTTTGTATAGCTTTAATTTAACGTTTTGTATATTGGTCCCATAACTTGAATTGAGAACACGTGCTTGGCGAAGGAGCCCTTACCACGAGGCGGACCAAGCCTAGTGATCATACATCAAGCGGCGCGTTGTTTTGATTTCATGGGTAATTTAGTTGCACGTGAAGAGTTTTCGGGATCATGTTTCTGTGACTGCTTTTAAGCTTTTTTATTGTCTTTGTCATCCGCGTTCCATGATTTTGGCCAATAGAAAATTGGTTGAAGACACGTGAACTTCACTGAAAACAATTCATCTGTCAACTTGTTTTCGTCGCAAGTGTTTATTGTTGATCAATAGAGGCTTTACATTGTTAAAAAACACAATTTGAAATTAAATAGACAGTTTGTTTCCACCTGTCTGTGTATATGTTTGAAGTTCAAGGTTACCTTGGCAAAGTAGATTTTACATTGTGAACACTTTACAACTGACGAAAGCTATGCTTCGACAGAGGTTTGATTTGTTCGTTGTTCAAAGTAAAACCCTCAACTTACAGTCGATCAATGTTTTCTTTTCTTTCAGTTACTATATTTATCAGAAAGATCACTTATTAGAGGCTCGTTTCAATTCGGAAATTAAACTCATTGTGTCCAAAAACCGCGATAATTTTGGCAGAGCTGTGTTATTAAGTATCATTGTATCCCTTGCCTGAAGCTAAAAGTTGACAGAACTAATTAATCCTGCATTTTAAACTTGTTAATTATTTTCTCTTTGTAGTCAGTAAACCGCCACCATCATGCACAAGGTTCCGCATTGTTAAGCACAGTTTGGAATAGCTTCTCTCGTGTTTTTGTGTTGCTTGGGAATTTGTATCTTATCACCGGACTTGAATCCACTCCTCGGAGACGACGCGTTCAATTTCAAAAATATCAGATCTCCGGCGAAATCAGCAGGCAAACTTTCGTCAAGTGCTAGATTGAATTCTAATCGTATTTTCAGCTCTTGTAATTTCTCCTCACACCAGTTCCTTGCATACCAAACGATTTGCTCTGATGAGAGATTGTTTTAAAACTTAACCGGCTTACCATATTAATGTTCAAAGTAGCTGGGAAAAAATTGAACCATTTTGAAATGACGCCGACGGATTACTCTTTGTGCCCTCTTAGCGTAGCCGAACAACGATTCTCCTTATTCTAGCAACTCCTGCATAAATCAAGTCAAAAAAGGGATCTCGGTGAAAAAAACTTGTTTCTTTTTCTAGGTCGTTTTCGTTTGTGACTGTGTAAGCGAGTAGTTAATAGTAAAGTTAATGGCAGCATTCACGTTTTAAAAACGTGCCTCTAGCGAAAACACACCTTCGACCCCATCTGTTGACCGATGACTTGAATTTAGCTCCATGTCAAAGTCAGTGGTTTACATTACCATCAGTATTCCCGCTAATGAGGACGCTGGATTATTTTTTTAGGGAAAAGAAAAACAAGGTATTAAAAGTAACCAGCTCTCTTTGGTTATTTAACGTTTTTTTTTTTTTGGCTATTATGTGCAAATGTCGTCAGTAGTTACAGAACTTGTTTGAACTCCCAGCAAACTAACAGTGAATAAACGAAATAGATGAAAAGATGAGTACCAACAAGGTATTGACTGATAGGACGGTTTTTAGTATTTTTGAACAGGTTTTAGATGGCGTAGAAAATGCCGAGGATATCCCACAAGAAAACAACTAAAACAGAAAGATTAAAATTATGAAGTGGTATATGACATGGAAAATGCCGAGGATATCCCACAAAAAAACAACCAAAAAGAAAGATTAAAATTATGAAGTGGTATATGACATGTGAGATATGTAAAAAAATAACTTTCCCACGGGACGCAGGGTGCGTTCAGATTGCCTATTTTGCTTTTGCGTGTTGTGTAGCTTGAAATCACTGTCGCTTTTTCATCGCGTGTATTTTTCTCAACGTATGCTTTCTGAAAAGATGTTTTAAGGGGGGCGGGATTTATTCTTGAAGGCCGCGCGCGCTAACTCGTGCGCCTTACTGCACGTGTCGCGCAGAAAAAAAAAAAACTATTGTTATTTTAAACGAGGCGACTCTGGTTTCTGCTTCTGAATTAGTGTTGCTACTATTGTTACAGTGAGATGCCTTGGGCTAATAAACGGTTTTTGGTTCATGTCAGCTAGACATGCCCTTCTCTTAGACATAACAAGTGTTGTTTTTCATTTCAGAGATGAAATTGGGATATGCGGGGCTTTGATGTCGTCAATTTACCAGACTGCATCAAAGAACCGTGTTGTTTTCAACTGCAGGGCTCTAATTTTTTTTTTAGGTAGTGTTATCAGCTTTGGTTTCATTTTATTACAGCGGTAAGAACGATTTATGAAGTAACTCGCTCGTATAAATAACAAACAAACAAGAACAGCGAAAATTGACGACTTATAAAGCATTGAGCGGCAGTTTTCTATGCTGAAATGTAAAACATTAGTCTTACAGGGCATTTCAGTTGCCGTTTAGAATTTACTGTTATCACCCATTGGTGTCAGAAAAGAACTTAGGAAGCTTAAACTCGACGACAATAGCCAAAACACGCTTGTTAAAGACAAAGTTTCATGAGTAGTACAATGGTTCTGCACGTGGGTTGTCCGTCATCTTGGTTCGTTCATCCTTCACTTAGATAAATAAACTGAATTGAACAATGGCTATATTCTTGAAAAATACACCAATTGACCGTGTTCGGATCAACAAGTAATAGTGGAGTCATTTAGTTCAGCGTGTTGTCAGCCTAGGCCGTCCGCGCTTTTGTTGTTCAACAGTTGTAAACCCGTCGCAGAAGGAGACAACTGAATGAGATCTTCATCTTGCAGACAGCCATTAGCAAGACAAACGATAAGGATTGGGATATGACGCGTTGACCTAACGACCCCGTTTTATGTCGAGAAAAGTGGTACACCCTTCGAGCTAACGCGAGAGCGTGGAGGTCGCAAATCGCGCATCGTGCGCGACAGCTCGCGCGGATCCCTCCCTTTGCGGCACTCCCGCGATCAGAGTGTGAAAAATGGGCGTTTCATTACTTGTCAAGAATACTCCACCGAGACATTCTGCGGTAAAATAATAGCTTGGTGATATTGTTTTAAGGCTCAAACCGCCGAGGCCGCAGTCTAATCACCATGCTGTTATGTTAAGCTGTGTGATACTGGCTTATAATAACCAAAATAGATTAGCGAACCTTAAGTTCGGCTTGAAATCATTTGTCTTCCCTGCGGGCACGGAAGCAGCCACGTCGTTAACGCTAGAGCCAGGGAAATATCGTGTTCCGCTTTCGGATATTAATCTCTGCTAGTTCTTGTTTTAGAGAAGTTGACCGAAATCATTTGGTTATGCCTGTGCGCGTCTGATACCCTTAAACTATATTCAAGGCTTGACTCGCCTTAAAATAACAAAACTTGAAGATCACTGTTAACCTGAGTTGGGATTATTCTTGTAGATGTACAGCTAGCTGGGTGACTCACCCACTTCGGCTGAATTTCTAGTATTCCTTTCCTCTTTCCGCCTCTTTTTCCGTCTCCGTCACCCTTCCCCTTTTACACTGCAACGCAAGGTAGTATTTGCACAACTTTTTTACTCTTGTGTTTCTGTGAGGAAAAAATACACCATGTATTGTACACAAGGTTACGGTAGAGTTGGTTTGCTGCGGAAACTGTCTCTTTCTACTATAAACTGGCTGGAAGTTTTAAATTAATTGTTTGATTTTAGCAGCATTTTCACGCGTTAACACCCTTAAACAAATTTTAATACGTCCTTCCTTCAGACATTGGACAGTTCGAGGCCGCGCGGAAACAGCCTGATTTCAAGCGGCAAGATCAGTTGTCGGCGCGTTTCACACCACGCTGAACTCCAAAGAACGTACTCTTTGTTTTCTCACAGTTGTAATATATTTGATATTTTTGGATAAACGACCGTTCACTACTAGTTGTTTACAGGTGCCTTTTCCGGTACGAACCCTTTTCAGAGAATTCAGCGAGCCCGCGCCCTTCTCGAGAGATGCGTTGCTCGGCGACATGGTGTCATCGCATGACGTCAGGCTGACGTGGAAACTTTCGGCGTGCTCGAGAGTGTTCGTGCACTCTTCTGAATGGTTAGCTGCAGTCGCACTATTCGGAAGTTTTCCGGGAGTTTTGGCGAGAGTAGGCGCCGAAAAATGACGGTAACATGTTTGCCAATACGTTCGCCAACTGAAGTATTTCTTTAGGTTTTATTTCGTTGACAGAGTGGATTTTTTTTAAAACTGAGAAGGTGAGAAGCTTTATAGAAAAAGCCCGATGTGACAGCCAGGGTTATTCTGCGTTTTTATGTTGTTGATGTAGCTGTAACGTTGTAACATCTTACTTGTGCTGAATACCAACGAAACGTACAAAAAGAATGCATGGAACTCCCGCGTGTCAGCGTGCACGAGATATTTAAGTGTTTGTCTTGCGGCCAACCGAACGACAATAAAGAAATCAGTTTTTTAGATAATCGCATTTGAATCTTTCGTTGAACAAGATCGTGTGTTTGGCTGCTTATGACTGCTTTTTATTTCACCGCTCTTGTTTTGCATCGGGAACTCATTATTTCTGCAAATTGCTTCGACTTATATTGGTGTTACTGAGAGAGCAGTGCCCCCTTAAAATAGTAAGCAGCTGATACAGACAGTCGTAGTTCGGCAGGCAGTTATCTCACAGTATTCACTTTCCATAAGAAGCCGTCAGTTGATTTAGTCCTTGTTTCTTTCTGTTTTTTTAGGATACCTTGTTTTGTTTGGTGGCAGCTTATGGTGTCTTCTACTATTAAACACAATGGGAACCTCGTGGATTCAATCAAACATCTCTGTACAAAAGCTTCGCCGCTGTAAATATAAATATTGGTCTTGTGTAAATACCAGTTTTGATCCCTTTCAATGCGTGGCGTAGTTTCTTTCTCGCCAGAGACTGTGGTAAAAATGCTGTGTTTTTTTTATACAACATGAAAATTGTTATCCATGTATTATTTAACACTTTTCGCGCGCTCTTAACACGCCAGTCTTCTCATGTGTCTGTACGGAAATGAGCTTTGTTGTTAAATGCTAACTCGATGAAAAGTCATCTTGATCCTAGTAATAAGGTATAGAATTTCTTAAATACGAAGGGTATCTGATGTTAGGAATATTTTTTTGTAGCACGGTTTCTCGTAATAAAGTTGTCTCTTTGAAACTGTCGAAGAGCTGGGTAGATGGATTTTTTTTTTCGTCTCGCACTATTGATTGCCAAATTAAGTGGTCTTTTTCTTTATCGTTGTTTTATCCCTGCCTTTTTATCCGGTTGACTCTTACTTGACAAAGATTTCTTTCCGAAATTGTGATTGAATTTCCTACAATCGGAAATCGCTCAGCTGACGTGTAATCTACGTGGTTTCGTACTCAAGATAAGATGAGGCGATCAAGATTGTGGGTAACAACGTAGAACAAAGGAAAGACATCATGTTCGTCGTGTCTAGAAGAAATGGAAGAAGGAAATGCCCTTGAACAATTGAACAACGATTCTCGGAAATGCCAATACAAGAATCGAACTTCCATTTCATTAACCTGATCAATTTATGTTCTGCTCTGGTGTGATGTGATTGTATAGGAGTGCTTCAAGTTGTAATGAACACATACACAACACTGCCAGCACTGCCTAATAGCCTTTTTTGCTATTTATTCTTAACTATCAGTTGCGTTGTTAGCTTGTCATTTTCTGTGGGTGTGTCGTCCCGTAAGCTAAAAGGGAAAATGTGAGTCCACTTACATTTCCTAATACAGAAAACCCTTGCCTTGGCTCGGTAGCGTGTTCGGTTTTTAATTTCCTTTCCTTTCGGCACGTTGGGAAATAGCGACTGTAGACGTCTCTAAAGGGATTATCATCTAGCACATTTTATCCAGGACTCCAGATCAGAGGCACCTAACACTACTTATCAATTTGCAAAGATCACGAACGGGACCTTTTAATTTAATTCGCAGAAAAAAAAAAAAAAAGATTTTTGTCTCATTATCTGGCACTGGTTTGAAGGTTAAAATTAAAGATGGTCTGTAGCCTTTTTTAACAAAATAATATCAAATAAAACATCGCTTTGTTTCAGTTTGAGCTGTTCAGGGGGGCATCTAAACATTCTTATTTCTTTAAACCTGTTAACGCCCGTTTGACGAAAAGAGGGCTGACTGCAAGAGCAGATTTGAGCTTCTCTGCGAAGGGATGAGTATTAGCTATGTCTTGGTGGTGAAATAAGGAGCAAATCTGTCGAGATAGCGATCTACAGTTTTGTCGCGAACTAAAACAGCCCCACGAACAACTTGTGGATAAATCTGTGTGATAAATCTGTGTGATATCAATGCCAAAACAAACAGCATTCATCCCATCCCGTTTGCGGAGAGTTTTTATTTGCTTGCGTTCCATAAACAGTCCCATTGAAGCTGTGAAATCTGGTTTGTGTGCGTAGTATTTGTGTCAAGAAACTTGACGTTCGTTTTCTAGTTCGTTTGTCGGAAACTTGAACGATTTCCGAACTTTTGAGCTTCTGTTTGTTGTGAGTTGTGGAATTGTGATTGTCACGGACGCTTTCTGTCACAATTGTTCCTGTGAGTGTTCATTTATTATTGATGTTACGAATAAAGATGATAAGATAAAGATTACATAAGGCATGGACTGGGCGTTTGGCATAGACTGGGCGGTGTATTGAATTCTCTGTCAGAGAGGTACTCAGTAAAGTTGATTTATTTTCCTTCGCGACAGAGTACACAAGTAAAATTAGTCGTGCGCGGTCGCGCGTGCTCGACAATTTTGCAAGTGGAATGAGTTATTCTTGACGTTGATCGATGAAAGACGCTCAAAGTTGCACAACGCATAGCTCTGTAAACTTCCGTTCCTGTGGCTTAAGATCGGAAGTGTGCTGCCTCGTGGGTAGGGATCGTCGCCTTTTCGAGGCTTTCCAGTCACGACTGGGGCAAACTGCCTCTCGCCAGCGCGGCTCTCGAGGAATTTGTTCGGCAAATATTGGGCAACACACGCAAATCGATAAGTTCACAAAGCTGTTTTGTCATTTCCTCAGAGACACTTTATTAACAATTTCCTGTTTATCTCGTGTTGTTTTGGCTGTTTACTTTTGGGTTCGACGTTGGGAAAAAGGAAAGAGAGGTTTAAAAATTTCTCACTATCGCTTCCTAAATCAATCGGCAACGCCCTGGAGTGTTTGTCAATGAGTTGCGCGCCCCAATAGAAAATGACTTCATCGCTTGAGGTGCAATGGTCGACAAGAGACAGGCATGTCACGCCACTTAATAGTTCGGAACAGCGGTTAATAAATGCCATGTGCTTTTCTGGCAGCAATCCAATTGTTTCACTGTCTAGTCCAGGTCAAGGCTATGAAGCAATTTCACTCGCGGATGATTGAGTTCAACGTAATCCACACCCCCAGCGGATGTTGGAAATCGGTGGAGGGTTTCACTTCGAAATCGCTCCAAATCTCGCGCATTCCTTCACATGGAGTTGTCTCTCCACAGAGTTTTCTGAGCTCGCAGCAGTTCGCGAAAGGGATGAATTTGAATGACAATTGATCAATTAAATAAACCGTTTTAAGTGTTTTCTCTCGCCATAGAACCAACAATGCCATTGGCCCAAAAGTGTGAATGTATCATGCCTATTGTTTTCCACCAATCAGCGCTTGTTTGTAGGAGATCGTTATCCACCCAGCGCGTGCTGTGATTGGTTGAGTGCGCCTTTCTTGACACATTAGCTTGTTTTGATCGCGAGACACGTGTGTACGGTTCTTCCGCGAAGGGTGACTGACGCATAAACGCTTGGCTATTGTTATGAACAGAATTTTGGCGCGTAGAAATTGACTGGTACCAACTATATATACCACAAGACAGGCTAAGAGGAAGTTTGTAATCGCTTGCGCGAAGGCCGAGTTCTTGGTCCCGGAAAGTGAAAATTCGTATGGAAGACTGTAGATTTGGCAGGAATGTTTTGAAGTGGAAAAGTTGTATACTAGCTACACTTACACGTGGTTTCATCTCCATTAAGAAATATGGAGAGTTCACGACAAGATGAACACAACTCGCGCACACCATGGATTTGGTCTTGTGGAAAATGTGGTCTTACTGCAACGAACTTACTGCTGTGCTTTTCATTTTTGTTAAATATTGTATTGGTTGTACTCTTTTCGGTTGTATTTATTCAACTGGAGAACGTTAAAACGCGCTTAGAGAAACTTGAATCGCCTTCCATTGCGAGCGAGGGACCAAGTAAACTGCCTCTGCGAGGGAACTCCAGTAGGCTTACACCGATTCCCGTTCTCACCACAAACGCTACAGCTCCACCGAACTTAATTAAGGTACGTGTGTTTTCTCGTTGTTAAATTGATCGTAATATCTTTGGGAAGCAAAAGCAAGCGAGCAATGGATGATATCAGAAATTTTACGCGGAGGGTTTTCCATTGATTGGGTTACATCTCAGCGACACTATTCATGTTTGCCGTGTAATCTGAGAGATGCTCACTTGAAAAATTATTTTTCCGTCCCAAACAGAGCATTCCTATACACGTTTCGCGGAGAAGTACTTCACAACTGGATCCTACCAGACCCTCGACAACACATACTAAACCACATAATAAAGTGGACAGAGCGACTCGGGAATATGTCAAGAAACAGATCAAACGGGAGCTTTTAGGTCGTGGGAGAGGGGCCGCACTTTGTTCGTCAATCTGTTCAGGTATGAAAGTTACATCATTTCTTTCGCGGAACGACAGCGATCGTGGTGGAACCATGAAATGCATGCTTCGTAAATCGAGTTCCGTTTCTGCGACAGATCTGCTTTACGAAGCGTAAAAACCACGCTTTTATTTTAAGCATCTAGACTGTGACATGGGCACGAATGAACGAATGGCTCAGAACCAAGATTTTACGACGTGCGTAGTTAAGCTTTTCATTCATTCCTATGCGTACATAAAGATACGATAGTATTTCGACAAGGTTATTTATAATTGTGCACGCCGCTTCGAAAGTGAAATAGTAATAAGGTGAAGTTTGTAAGTGATATTCCATGAATTGGCTTTTCGCTGTTTGAATTAAGCTCGTGGTTATTAGAAGGTCTTCGAGTTGGGTTTTCGAAGACATAATCGATGTATGTTGCATAAAAAAGATTCTACTCCACACTCCAGTCTTTATTTACTTATTAAAATCGCTTCATTGGCGAACTACTGGAGTAGAACGTGTATTGTGCTGTGCCTCGAGTGTACATTGTGAATATTGACCGCGAAACGCCAGTTCTTTTATGATGGTCCCCCATTCATCGCTTGGTTAGTTATAGCTCGTGATCATGTATGCCTGTGTGTGTTTTCTGCACGTGAACAAGAAAAGGAAAACTTGGCCACTTCGCTTACAGATTGATTCATGTGTTAGGTCTGGATCAAAACGAGATATTTTTTTACCTTTCTCATTTTATCAGACGTTAATTTTTGCCCCATTGTGAAGAGTACCACAGATCGGCTTTTCGAATTTGCGATTTTCTGAATCGTTTCCAAGCACGGAAATTTTACAATCGATAGGCCTCATTACGATCTCATAGGTTCTTGTCGCTTCCTTTTGCAAACTTCGTGGCCATAGGAAACCAATTTAATTGACAGCTATTGAAATTACGCGTATTCATGATTTCCTGCAAGGAGTGTTTAGTATATTGTTTCATACATGCGGTTTAGTTCGCGTTTTTCGCCAAATAGGTTTAATAGTAAGGTTTAAACCACGCTGAATTCTATATTCCTAATCCTGTTTTATTATGGTGTGCACACCCATTCTCCACCTACACTTGACACCCTTCTCTCCATTGTGTCTTTTGCCAGTTTTATAAACTGACAGGTGTTGCTTTGTTAGCATACATTTTCAATAATTTCATTATCTCCAAATCACTCCATTAAGATTCATTCAAGATAATCACTCTAATTGCAAGCTGAAAAACAAAATGCATGCATTGTAAACTGGGCCAGTCATTCAATGTGGATTGTCGGGAATAGGAAATTCAAAATGTACACAGGCATATGTGCATTTGAGAAGGTGTGGGATAACTTTAAAGCTCAAGCCTGTGTTTTACCAATCGGTTGTTTATATTGAAGACCGTTGTATAGGCATATCACTATGTGTATGTGCTAGTTGTAACATAGTTACAGTGCATTACGAAGCGATCCTTTTTTCATTTAAACACTTGATGTTATTTAGACAAGATAGGAAATGAGCAATAGTTAACTTTAATACTCAAGCCTGTGTTTTACCAGGCAGTTGTTTATATTGAAGATTGCTGTATATTTATATCACAATTTGTATGTGCTAGTCCTAACATAGTTATAGATTGAGAAATGATCCATTTTATTTGAACACCTGATGTTATTTAGACGAGATAAAAGAACTTGCAATTTCTGCAGCTAGTTTTTCAAAAAAAAATATTGCATGACCTGGCAGTCCTCTACTCTGAGATGTTTTCTTTTGCAAACATAGTGTTGTTTTCTTAAGTCGTAATACATTTACCTTCTAATACACCAGACAAGGACAGATTAAATTAAACACAACATTAACAGGCAAGGCATTGAAAGGCAATGGTGTGACTTCCACCATGCTTGAGAGAAAGTTGATAAGGAAAATAAGAAGGCAATGTTGTAATGGCTGTTTATTTGTTTTGTTTTTGTTTTGGTTTGGTTTTTCTGTAGCCTGCTTGATACAATGTATATCAAATATTTTAGGTCACAGATTGTTGTATGCCCTTTATGGTACATTGCAGTGGCAGATCCAGACCTTAAGCTAAGGGGTGAGGGGTCTTTTTTGCCTGCCATGCTGCCTTTTCTTCCTTCCACTGCATTGTTACAGAAGCGTTTCTTGTTAATAGTATTTGCTCACGTGAGTATCTGATTACTTTTGTTAAAAAGTTAGGGTAGTCGTGTTTCTCACCAGTAATAATTTATGTTAAATCAGGTTGTTGTATATAGAGAGTAGATTGAAATGCGATCAGCAAATATGAAGGACTGACAATAACATATTCTCAAAAAAAGATTAAAAAAATGTTTTCACAAATTAATTTGGGATAAGAATAGAAAATTAGCATTTAAAATAACCCTAGTCTTTGAATGCCATGTTATTAATTCCACTAATATTTGTCAGAAAGAGTAGTTCTTAATAGAAAAAGGCTAGTTTTTTTTTTAATTTTAAGCCAAGATTTCATTGCATAGTACAGTTGTTTGAATCTTTGATTCATGGTGCAGCTCTCACTCCATCAACTAGCAGTTTCAAGACATCTATCTACCACAAGAAGTATTTGTAATTATTTGGAGAGCTAGAAGCTTTGATGTTAAGAAATGATATTTTCCTAACTTTATAATTCAAACCTTTGTGATTTATATGCCTCTCATATGGCCCACCCAAAATATGCACTTAATTGTCATAACTTTTATCCATACACTTAGAAGCGGTTGCTAGGAACAAAGCAAAATTCAAGTTATGGCTAAGAAGAGAGAACAGGTGTTGCGAACAACAAAGCAAACCACAAAATGAAAAGGCATTTGCAAATGTTGAATTGTATCTGGGGATGCAGAAAACTAGCAAAAACATGCCCTTAAAACAAACAGTTATGTCCCAGTTGTTCAAAGGATGGATAATGGTATCCACTGGAAAATTGCTATACAGCAGATTGTAAAATAAACCATGCTATCTGCTAGTTAGTGATTTATCCAGTGGACAGTGTTATCCACCTTTCAAACAACCTGGGCCAGGGAGATAAATTTAAAGGTTAACAACTAAACTCTTAAACAAAGGGTGGAATTATGTCAAACATTAAGCAGAATGATGATTATCTGGCTAAAAATACTTATGTGACAAACAGTGAAGAATGTGATTGTGAAAAATAAATTATTATTATTATTATTTATAGATAATAGTTTAATAAGGAAAAAATTGCCGATTCACTACACAGAAGTATGGGTACCCAGCTTTGATTTACAGAGAAGGTAAACCTGATAAGGAAGTCGAAACATTAAACCCTAAAGTTATTACAAGTTGGTTTTTGTTGTAAAAGAAGACAGAGCATCCAAAAATGAACAATTTTAACTATGGAAATAATTTATATTTTGCATTTGATTCTTATTCTAGCAGAAAAACAAAATTAAGTGGTAAGCTGAAACAGATTTTGATCATCCATGAATAACTCAGTGCTTTCAATAAAACCTGGCACCCACCCACCTCTTTGATTCTCAAACAAAAACAAGGCTGTAAATGTGTAGATTTAATCAGCTTTGAATTTCTTTCCTCGTGTTGTGAGCAAATAAATGTCCATGTTGTATGTTTGGCCACCTATGCAAGAATTAAATTTCCAATCAACATAAATTATTTTAAATGAATCAGTTAATGGACACGAAAAATTTCTCGAATTGTTATCAATCAGTTCCTAGAAGAAGTGACAGTAGTTCCTAATAACATTAATTTTTAGTGCTATGTCACATATCTCAAAGTACCATGATAACCATCCTCATGTTGGTTTACTGCGTGAAGTATTATATTTACAGATTTTGTGTAAGAAGATATGGGAATTTTCTGCCTGGTTTTCCAGACCTTGAAAGCAAAGAACAAATAATCGTGTCTTAAAAAAAGTCTGGAATTTTGTACATGTTGCAACCAGCTCTCATTTGTTAAGTAAAATCAACAGTCTACCAATGCCTGTCCACATGTGGATACGGAACTCAGTAAAATTTGCACTTGTACCTATTCAGCAAGGAATGGTGTCTGCCAAAAGGAGAAGTGACTGTTTAATATAATAACATGAGTTAAAAGTATTCAGTGGAACAAACTGTATTCACCCAGGGGTGTGTCACTTTGGCCCTCAACTTCAAAAGAAGCTGGGAGTAGAGATAGCTAATCAGAAATTTCAACTCTACTTCTCTCTTAGGGAGACACTACTCTAAAGCAGACATATGAAGCTGCTGCCAATCTTTCTTTGATCTTACCATGATAAATATTATAGCCTTTCAAATAAATGGTGGTCATGTCTCTTACTATAGGAAACAGCCTTCTAAAGCAGTTACTCTGCTGAGGAATTCTCTCTGAGACAGCCATACAGGTGTCTGAACTAATAAACTCCCCTTAGGAGATACAGATTTCTTGTTGTTTCCATCTCTTTCATGGCCATATTTACGTTTACATTTGATTCTTGCAAAATCACTCAGTGACGACTTGACTTTGACTTTTAACCAGAATCCCCAGGGGGTGATGGGCTGGAAATTCTTCTACACCATGTCACTCAGTCATGTGCAACCACTGCTGTTGCGTTCTATGATGAAGAACCCAAGGTTGTCCTTTCATTCTTTGCAGTTCTGCCGGGTGTCATGAGTGCAAGATTAAATAAACGAAATTTGAACACAATAATAAATAGAGAACAAAACAAAATACTGGGGACAAAACTAATTAGCCACCGCCCCAGAATAGACACCGCTCCAAGAGGGTATCTTTAAAGTGCACACCAGAGGCAAAAAAACCCTCTTGTTGGAGACCTCTCTCAAGGGGAATCTCTGTCTCTCTAAGGTGGATAGCCCTTTGAAGGAGAGTTAAGTCAATTCCAAGTGCGGCAATGTAAAGAGACATCCTTTAGGCATCAGATGAGCTGATTGAAAAAGTAGTTGATTTTGTCGCAAACTGTCTACTTGATCTACAATGATTGTGTATCCATTGTAAGGATAACTTTACGGGTTTTTTGTGTTGGTGTTTTATTTGGTATGCAGTCTTGTGGTCAGGCTATTCTCAGAGATCATTATTTAGTCTTGCACAGATTGACACTTCAGTGACTTTTTTTTTTTTGGCGAGAAGTAATCATTGATAGCTTCTTTTGTTTTCATATCACCAGCAGCTTGTCTAAACCTTCCTGAGACCATGGTCTCGTTCAAATAAAGAGTAGACATGTCAAAGAAGCTAAACACGAATCATACAACTGTTAAGCTGCTTCTCTTATTTCTTCTTGTTTACGTTGTGTTCATTCACATGCATCAAGTTACCAAGATCAAGTGTCAAGCCACAGAAATAAGCTCTGAGCTTCTTCTGTAAACACTGAAATCAGTTAAGCTGCTAACGTTAGGTAGTATTAAATCAAAATGTATTTAAGGAATGTTAGTAAAGCTAAACCACTTTTAAATTTTACACCATGGGAACTAATTATGCAATAGGTATTTTTCTTGTTGTCATCTTGAAATAAAATTTATTAAAGCTTGCATGTCACACAAAATGAAATATTACTCTTTATAGGTTGTCTTAGTCTCCTTTACGCTGCCAAAAAAATATATTGTCTGTTTTGGACTGACGGCAAAATGATCTATTTGTAATTTACTTAATATTACATTTTTCATTTGTGAAAATTTGTCCACATTGAGGTGGAGTTGTTTCTGACCAAATGTCCCCCAATTCTCTTTGCCATGAAAACTGATTCACTCTTCTGTGTTGTTTAGATTTCAAATTAGGCAGTGTATGTTTTTTTTTTTCTTTTCCTGGGTTTAATAACTTTGGTGACGTTCAACATCTGGAAATGTTTCAGACGGTTGGCTTCTGCTGTCATGAGGGTTAAATTTAGTACATAATTTAGTCACGTCCAAGAGAAAGCAATTGATCAATTTAAAGAGACTGGACTTGTTGAAGTGCTAAATATCTTTAACAACTGTTGTTTGGTTACGCTCTTGCTGAAAACTTCACCTTTTATTTGATTTTGAAAACAAGGAGAGTTTGTTTGCTAAAAGTTCAGATTGATTTAAATCTAATTAAGTGGCTGTTTTTTATTGTCTTAAAATATGGTTTGGAGGGAAGTGTGATCTGTAATAAGGGGACTTTTAAAGGTAGGAGGGCGATTGCTGTTTTTTGTCAGTAGTTGGGTAATCCTGTTTAAGATGTCTGGATCAAATTTCAATGCTAGTCTGAAGAGCTAATTTAGAAGTTTTGATTAGTGTGAAATTGAATTAAATTGTCATCGCCATGAGAAGAAGAATATGTTGATCACCTCAGGCAACTATAGAGTAAGTCATGTTAGAATTTTCCTATATTTTGGGAAGAGAAACTGCCAGTAATGTTAAATCCAGTTGGCAAAATTTTGTATCTGTGCTAAAAATACTTGAGCTTCAGGTCAAGAGACACCAAATTTTTGACGACTTCTTTCATCAACTCAAACTATCATCTACACATGGTTACCATTCCCTATACACTAGTCACAAACTGATGCTTTATTATGCGTTTACTTGTTGCAAAGAGTTATTTATAGGAAGTAATTGTGTGATGTGATGTTTAGATTAAACTTAAATTAGGGTTAATAGACTGTAAAAGTTAAGTAAAACACAGAGGAGAGGAAACAAATAACCAGCTATTAATCATCCAAAAATCCCAGTGTCAGTTACATGACATACTGAAAGACGTGTAGCCTTCAAATTTTTTCTCTCTAAAATTAGGAGCAATTGTTATGGCTTTCATTTCATTAACGCTGAAATCATTTCATGTTTAAGTAGAAAAGTAAACATTGGGAAATCAGTTGGTAAAAGTAGGTTTTGGTCAAATTATTTGTGTGATGATATCACCATTGAAAGCTACAAATTAAGGAGTGTGAATTGATTTTTTTATTTTTTAATGATTGTGTTATGGCATCAAGAATATTCTTGTATGAATGTTTTCCCCCCTTTAATGTGGACATTGGAATTACTAGGAATATTATGTAAATCTTGCTTGTTAGTTGTGGGACATACATTTCTGCTCAAAACCACTGATCCACTTACATTAATGGCAATATCTCAGAGGGTTTTTTGTTGTTGTTTTTGGGAGGGGTTTTAAAATTCTAAGAGTACGAAGCTTGACTGACATTGAGACATATTGTGCAGTTAGGTTTTCTCACTTCAAGGCTTTTGAACACATTTTCATGCACACTATATTTTTTAAACTTCCTTTTTTATACTTTGTGGATTAATTACCTGTTTTTGCTGGTCAGGATTAAAAGCCGCTGTATGGGAAAGTGAGCCCGCACTCCTACTCATACAAAGAATGACAGAAATTGAGCCCTTAAATAATGCGTTTATCCTAAAGGGTTTTGTTGGCTTTTTCTGATGATTAATGGGCTAATATTTATATGTGTGGGAGTTTGTATTAAAAACACATCCTAATACCGGTATATACAAGTTATACCAGACTACCACGCAATGTAGTAGTTCATAAAGATAAAAATTAAAAACTATGGTAAAAGAAGTATTACGGTGGGTAAGTGTTGAACATGTGTATACACGTGTGCTAGATCTAAGGATAAAAGTAAGGTGGAGCTTTTATTACCACAACAATTTTTGTCTGAGATGTGTGGGATATTTTTGGACATCAGTCAATTACTTGTAATCTGGCATTTCACGGCAGTTGTTGTTCTTTCAGAGTGTTTCCTAAATAGAAATTTATTTTATCTAATTTGTAAAAAAAGGTGTCTGACATGGTCGAACAAGCGAAAGTGTAGGCTTTTATATGGATGTCATTAATATACATATTAACTTTTACTTCGCTTGTCCATAAAAATGTCAAAAGGTGGTCTTAAACTGGTATAAGTTTATCTCTTTTCACTGGAATATTTGTGGTGCATTCCTAATTTCAGTACAGTTAGTGGAAGGCGCAGCCATATTAAAGCTCCACTGTTTTTGGTTAAACACATAGCTAATAGAAATGCTTGGCTGTGGGTATTTATCATTTTCTGGAGCTGTATGTCTATGAGAATAAGGAATAGCTTTCGCATGCAGACTTATACCACATTAATTATATCTTTTCTTCTATTATTAATAATAATAAGTCTTTTGCATTCCTGGCATTTTGGCATCTTTAAGAATTCTATTTTTGCCATTAACTTTCCAATTAAACAGGATATGTTTTTTTTTTGTGAGTCTTCAAACCCATGACATATGTTGCAATGTTGATTGGCAGGCAGCTAACAGGAACTTGTAAGTTTGCTCGTAATGAGCAAGTTTTAGTTTGCTTGCAGAAAGAGTGCTAGGCTTATCTTTCTCCAAGATGCGGTCTTCACTATTCACAAACATGGGTTTTTGCCCTTACATGTAATCAAAGTAATACCACATTGATATCATAGAAGGAGAATTTAGTGGCCCTCTGGTAAACTGTTAATCAGCAGATATAGATCTTGAGGAGGTCATCTGGTTACATACAGTGCACATTAAGGTTTCCTTGAAATGATATTTCAAGTCCCACAAAGCCTAACTGCCAAAGATTAGAACAAAGCCATTGAATGAGGAGTATTGTTGCAGATCTGTTGCATAGATATTTGCACTTTGGTGGAGTTTAAAGATTAACTCAACCCTTTTTTATTTTATTTTATTTTCTTTTTCAGGGTTGAAGGGAGAACAAGGTGAGTTGAGTTAATTCTTATTGCATCTTCCATTGATCTTAGTTAAGAGTGAGAGTCCCTTTGAAAGGAAGTTTGGCACTTGCCAATTCCTCTCTCGGGTACTGCTTTCAATTTGCAGGAAGAGCTAGGTGGGATGTGTGGCTGCTAAGTAATGTTATCATACATGTATGTGGTTTTCCAAAAAATAGACTGAAAAGTTTGTGTTCATTGTTTGCAATGTGGTTTCCAGTCATTGTTTTCTCTTGATCGTAGACTGGAAATGAGAGAATTGGTACAGTACTTTCAAACAGTTTGTACCAACTGGGATGAAAAGATTACCTCAAAACCCAACTCTAACAAATGCCCAGAAAGTTATTATACTATTTGCTTTCCAGCCAAAGTTAATAATGTGACCTTACACTGGTAAATGTACACAAGCCCTTATCCGTTAAATGGATTAAACCGTGTATCATCCGTTTGCTATCTGTTTGTAATCTGTTTTCAAAACACCTCATGAAAACCATTTCAAGCATCAGGCAAAGCGTTTTAACATTACGATCAAACCATTTGAACGGCTTTCACAACCGCTCATTAATTGTTTGCATCCATTAATACCGAAAGAGGTATTCGTCAAGAAAATCTAAGCACCATTAAAACAGCAAAAGCAATCCGTTGAAAAATCCAAGCATCCATTTAAATGGCAAAAGCAATCCTTTAACTAAATCTTTGCATCCGTTTTAATAGGAAGCGCTATCACGTATCCGTTTAGAAAGTCTTGAAACTGTTATAAAAACGTTTTAAAGAGCATTTTAAGCTTACTGTTAAAACAACCAGAGACAAAGATAACCAGAAGCTGCTGAGCTTGAATTTGAAAAAAGAAAACAGAATGGAAGTTAGACAGCAGAATGGTAAAACAACCTGTCAAACTGACCAGAAAGCCGTGGAATGCATCTCGTTCGTGAATGCTTGATTTGCAATTGTCTTATATCATGTTTTGTTGCAGATTGAGATTTATATCATAGAAGGAGAATTTAGTGATCAACAGATCTAGACTTAAAGAAGGTCATCTGGTTTGACTATTAACACATACACACAGTACACATAAAGGTTTTCCTTGAAATGATATTTCAAGTTCCACAGAGCGTAACTGCCAAAGATTAAAATAAAGCCACTGAATGAGTATTGTTGCAGATCCCCTGCATAGATATTTGCGCTTTGGTGAGTTTAAAGATTAACTCGAGCCCTTTTTTATTTATGTATTTATTTTTTTCAGGGTTGAAGGGTGAACAAGGTGAGTTGAGTTAATTCTTATTGTGTCCTCCGTTGATCTAAGTTAAGAGTGAGAGTCCCTTTGGAAGGAAGTGTGGCACTTTCCAATTCCTCTCTGGGGTACTGCTTTCAATTTGCTGGAAAGAGCTAGGTGGGATGTGTGGCTGCTAAATAATGTTATTACACATGTAAGTGTTTTTCCAAAATCAGCCATTGAAACAATTTGAATGGCAAAATTAAACCAGAACGGAAGACAGGTGGCGGAACAGTATAAAACAACTTGTTGAACCAACCAGAAAGCCATGGTATGCATCTCATTCACAAACACTAGATTTACAACTGTCTCATGTCTGAGTTTTTACAGTTAGCTTGCCTTAATACATATTTTGTTTCCTCTTATCGAAAACAGAAACATTGAAACAAAAACAATGAAACAAAAAACAGTAGTGGTCGAATGAAACAAGAATGGCTGTGTTTGGGTCATGTGAATTCACGTAAAACTATGCGAAGTGCCGCTTTGTTTACAGTGTTAGAATTATAATTATTACAACAAACATACTTTTCCGGTAATCAATCCCCTGCATTCTATTTTGTGTTGAATCTTACTGAAGTCATGGACAGTATATTTCTAACTTGAAATGCGTGTCATTTGTTGTCCAAGGACTGACAGTTCAGGCTATGAGCAAACTTCCCCCATCCCGTCCAGGAAAGGTTTTTTACCTGCATCATGTGTGAATCGTGCCTAACAATTCGGAATGTGTTGGCTATTAAACAAGATCGATCGTCTACCGTTTGTAGTATTTTATTGATAGTAAGTCATGTTTCTTCAAACTAATTTGCGACTGGAAGTTACTTTGTTTCCATAAATGGAATTTCGTTGGAAATGTTTCTTGCTTGATACTGCATACCATGATGACTTCAATTAAACAAACATGGACAGAATTGTGTTGTTGTTTTCTCAACAATTTGACAAACAGATAATTTCCAACCGTAAGTAGATACTCACTTGCCAACCATTCAAATGCTTGAAGTCATCCATTTGAAAACATGTGAAAACATGAGATAACTGTTTAAACTCTTCAAGTCATCCCTTCGAAAATTTTTGCCAGCCATTTTAACACTTCAAGTCATCTGTTCGCAAATTCTCACTAACCGTTCGAATGCTTTGCCAAGCCGTTAGCCAAGATTCAAGAACCGTTAAAACGTTTCCAGGAAGTAATAAACGGACAGGAAATGCCTTTAAAAGCATTAAAACATTTCTAGGAAACATTTTAATGCTTTTAAAGGCATTTACTATTCGTTTATTATCTTTTTACTATCCATTTGTTTTTAGCTGTTTGATGGATAGGGGCTAGTGTATGCTTTTCTGTGTAAGGTCACAAATACCCCTGCTGGTGTACTATTAATTTAATGACTAGATTATGAGCGTAAATTTTTCTTTCGCATGATAGCTGACAAGGATGCAACCCAAGTTGACTATCATGCATAGAAATCAAGACCAAATAATCTAATTGTTTTAGTATAAATCTACTAGTTGTTCAGAACTTTATCTGAATCCTCTTCACAGACTCTTTGAAAATCCAACGAAGTAGGTGTCATTTTGTATACAACCGCACACTGTTAGGCTAGTACTCACTATCTTATAAGGTTTTATTATTCCTAGTTTTTATTTTGATTTTTACAGCTAGTTATTTTATTTTATTCATGTTTTAAAATCGTTGTAAAGCACTATTGGATAGTGATAGAAATAGTGCTATATTATTACTGTTGTTATTATTATCTACAACAGAATAGTTAGAGTAGTGTAGCCAATATGAGAAAGGCTTTTATGATAGAGTACTGGTAGATTTATACTGCTTATCAGTGAACTCTGCATTGCAATGCCTGATGAAGGTATTATTCCTTAATACATCTCTGTCAATATGATGTCATGAACTGTTTCAAGTTCAACCAAGCATTTCTGTATGGAAAACTCTGTTGGCATTATCCTGATAAAAACATTCTGATAGACTGTTAACACACAGCATATCTGCTCTTTCAAGAAGGCAAATGATCAGTAAAATGCCACTCTGCCAAACTGCCATTTCAAGCTTAACTTTAAGCTATTTGGAAGTATTGCATTTCCCACTTCATTAGAATCTGCAGTTTGTGGAGTTTAAAGTTAACCCAAACCTTTTCTTTTTTTCAGGTATGACGGGAGAAAGAGGTGAGTTAAGTGCTCCAGTTGTGTCTTTAATTCATTGCTCTGGTAGAGAAATGGCACATGCCATTTTCTGTTCCTGAGTTCTGGGTTGATGAAAATTGTGCAGAACTTCACCTAAGCAGACTAAAATTGTCATGCTGAAAGAACACCCAGTGCTCTGATATAACAGTGATAAAGAATTGCTTATCACTGTTTGTCATCTTTAATATTTCAATCCATTTGTAATGGGTATTGTATCAATGTTTGCTGTTATCATTATATTCAAGCCATTCATACTATTGTTCGTTGTTTTTTGTCATGTTTAGGGAGAAAAGGCGCCACTGGTGATCCTGGTCCGCCAGGTCCTCAAGGTCCCCCTGGCATCAATGGTGAGTGTCATAATATTTTAGTTAATCAGCAACAATTAATAATAATAATTAATTGGTTTCTACAGAGTGTTTGAGCAATGATGGCAAAAGTCACTAAATATTACTAAATAAACCTCATGGCATGGTAATATTTTGAATACAGCTAAGAAGAACGTACTGAGACTGAAGCTCTCAAACTGACCCTGCGAAAAAAAAGTGAACTTGAAGTTATCCATATTTCAATTAAAACATACATTTCGTGTTAGTTGAAACGACAATAACACATGCTTTGAGCATTCTTACAAGGTTTGGCATTAAGTTTCTCGAGAACACTTGAAAATTTAATCACGGGGTCACTTAGAAAAATGAACTAAAAGTAAGATGTTTTCAATAGTATTCCAAAAATTACCATGCTATGAGTAGATTTTTAGTAAATAATTTTTGCAGTTATTGCTCGAACTCCAAGCGGAATCTGCCTTAAAAATAATTAATGATAAATAGTTTTTATTATGTAGTAGTACATGACTGTGTCCTGTCAATTTTAATTTTGGCCAGACATTGATTAGCATTTAATGAATTTACATACACATATAGTCTGACAACTTAATCTATAGCCATACCTGAAGTAATGAGAATGTTTATTAACTGATGCATTATAGGGTGCTTGTCAAAGCAGATATTCTTTTTACATTTTATGGAAATCCTTAGAGGTTATTTAAACAAAACAAACTAAATCCAATGCATATGTTTCGTAATTTTTCACGTTTCAAAGAAAACATTGTTAGTTAAGTTAAGTTTAGTAAATATAATGAGTTTGTCACCAAAGTGCAAGATGGGTAAGTTCAAATAGATGAGCAAATAAAAAGAATCAAAATAGTATGGGATGTGACAGGGGAAAGAAACAGAACTAGTGTGCCAATTGTGATCTAACCCCTTACTACACTCAACATACACTCAACGTATACACTAAAAATTAATACAAGCAAATAAAAATGTGATAAATATGTAAATTATGGTATAAGACCTTACTAGGTTTTAGCCTGGAGGACTATAAGCTCCGCGCTTTGATAAATAAATATTAATTAAGTTGGTCTTAAATGTAAGATCTTCGCATCTAGAAAGTTAGGTCATTTTGGTGCTTGGTTATGATCTGAGATCATATTGTAAAATGTACAGATCACTTCACAGCTGTTACATAAGCCAATGAAATTTATTTTTCCATTTCTAGGAATGCAAGGGCATCAAGGATTACCAGGTATGATTGCAGTAAACATCATGCTTCATTTTGGGGTTACATTGGCAGGAATTACACTTTGTTTCATTGGGATAAAGAAATTGCGACCATTTGTAGTTTGAATCCTGGTGACTTTTCAAAACATGAATTCAACCGTATGTGATTAATCATTTCCAATCACCATGGCAACTAAAATGGTTGTTTGGAGCACAAGGTCATGAAGTAGCATTGGTGGCGGTAGCAGTATCACCCAATTGTATTAGCAGTAGCGGTAGCGGTAGCAGTAGTAGTAGCACCAATGGCAGCAGCAACTTAGTTTCAAGAGGCTCCCATACCACTGTTTAAAACTAATAAGAAAGTGGCCCTCTATCCTAAAAATCAGTATTAGTATTCATTGCGTGCAGAGATTGTCAACTTAATATGAATGTGACTTCATGATAAGATCAGATAAAGCTAGTACTTTTTGTTGGGATAGCAATGATATATGAACTTACATTGTTACATCAACTTTGCCCTCAGGTAATCCTGGTCAGAAAGGAGAGCCAGGAGATAAAGGCGATACAGGCGTGGGACTGCAGGGAGAAACAGGTATCGTACTGTGTATAACCTGATTGATGTCATTAAAAATGTTCAAGCCATGCTCTGATGTTAATCCACACATTTGATTGGCTAGCTGTGCCCGCATTTACTTGTTAAGAATGAGAATATTGGCTTTCGATTTCTTTGAAGTGATAGTTGATGCAGCCAAGACAACTGTCACTTCAGTGGAATGGAGAGTGAAAAATGTTATTATTTTGGTAGAATTCTAACAAAATGTCATTGAAATAACAATTTCCAATCGTTCCTCAACATATTAAGTAGCGTTAAATCTCACGCTCTAGGGAAATCACCCACGGAATAATCTGTGAATTAATACTCTTCCTCATACCAAATGTTAACTTTTCTCCTCTGATTCTACTTAGTGAATATGTATTGTACATAGAAATGTTATGTTTATCCTGCATTACACAACTCATTGTCTTTCTTTGTAGGTCCCCCTGGGCCTCCAGGGAAAAGAGGTCCAGAAGGTAAAAAAGGAGACCCGGGAATACCGGGAAAGAAGGGTGAACAAGGACCTCCTGGGGAAAAAGGCGATACAGGCTCGCTAGAAGTAAGTGCTTTATTATTGCCAGTTACTTTTTGCATTTGGATGCAGCAATTTGCTAGTATTAATTGTAATTACAATATTTAGAGAGAAGCCAAATCAGCTGACTTTTAATAACTACCCTCACCTCTGCCTTCAATTCTCCTATACATCGTGGACCAATTTGCCATATATTAAATTGATAAATAAATAGATTTTATTTTCCTCATTTCTCTATACAGTTCTGGTATTGAGTTAAAGACTTATGACTGAGTTTATGACTTATTAGAATTTTGCCATGTTAATCTAAATATTCAAATGAAATGTAAAAGTAATTTGAAACAGTCTAAAGGAAGGTTACATTTTGACAACAAATTGCTGAAGCTACATGTAGCAATTAAATCATCTTGCAGGGGTGAGCAACCTTCAGTGACATTTATACTTTATAAATCTAACATGGTGATTTGCGTGGGAATGTTTGTTGGATAAACATGTGTGTGTTCTGAAGTTTGTGGAGAAAACTTACTGGGGATGTTTTTTTTTTTTTCACAGTCATCACAGAGGCCATCTGCACACCTCACAGGGCATACACGGAACACCCAAAACTCTCCAAGATCAGGTAGATAAAAACTTTCTTCAATGTCTTTTATTTCAAGCATCATAACCATGATATCCACAAGCAGTAAGATCTCAGGATGATCTGAAATGAATTTAACACTGTCACAGGGCAGGAAAAAAAAAATTGAGATCTAGTTGCCTGGTCAGCAAGTTCATTTTAGTTTATTTAATTGTCCCCACTAAAATATTACTTGCCCAATGGGTGTTTTTCTTCACCATCTTGAATCTACCACATGCTTTGTTAGTAGTGCATCTGCTGTGTGCAAGATCCAATATGGCAGCCAATTATGGCAACTGGAGAGCAAACACAAGCAAAGCATGCTTGGATTTTAAATTTATCTATGCTTTCAACTCAGTGTTTTGCTCATCTTGCAGTCTTACTTTTTTAAATTGTTTTTGATTGGAAATTATCACTAATAAGACTACTTGACCACCAGACCACCAAACTTCCATTTTCACTTCCCCAAGAGCAAAATTTACTTGCCCTGGACAATCAGACCTGGGTTTTTTCCTGCCCTGTGTCAGTCATAGTTTAAGTTCCAGACTGGAGGAAAAGTGTTTCTGTTATCTGGCAAAACTCTGGAAGTAGACTACGTATATAAGAGTCCATTGATTCCAACTTAGGAAAGTGTATTATCTATGCTCTTGTTGTACACTACTAACAAAATAGAACAATCAATGTTTACAAAGATTAATGCTGATGTAGTGGACTGTTTGAGAACTCAAAAGCCACTGATGAACACTCTGCAAGGTTTTTTACCTGATTATTTGGATTTGGCCATGTTGTAAAATAGCTGTCATATAGTGGGCCTTTTCAACGATACTGTGGCCATTTTGAATTCTGTTATTTCAAATAACTATTTTCAATGTTCCAGATAAGTGAGGACTCTCAGGTCAAAAACCCGACAAGGTCAGCTACATGACAAATTAATAGAAAATTTATAATGATTTGGTGGGAGCAGTGGGAATTGACCCATTCAAATTCCTTATTGATACCCTGCCCTAAAAACTTATCTGTTACCCTGTATTATGGGATCCTTAGGGGCAAACAGGTACTAATTTGGATCCCATAATAGCTATTGGAAACAATAGTCTTCAAAATGGTCACCGTATCGCCGAAAAGGTCCATTATGTCCTTTTCAAAAATAAACTAGAGATCATCATGATGAATCAAGACATGCAAAACATGTAAATGCCTATGTTGCCACTGTGCAATCATAACCTGAATAGATGGATTTGGCCAACAGGTGTAATCCTTGTTGCCACCCAATTCAGATCAAATGATGATTCATTTGGGAGATTACAACTGTGCAATAAATATTTGTCACATGCAACTGATTGCATGAGAGTATGTACAAACAGGACAATAGTAACCTCCCAGATGAATCACCACATGATCTTAATTGGATGGCAACAGGGGTGTAAACACGTCAGCTGATTCCATCAATTTTTGAACCAAAATTACAATAAGACTGCCACCAGTGTAAAAGGACTGTATTATTTTGCACTAACTCTAACTCGGAGCAGTGGGCCTCTGCCAAAGTGTTTTACACTTTGGTTTCTGTGCTCTCTTTTTGACAGGCTTCTTAACTGGCTGGAATGCCTCACTGCTCCGAGGGGGGATGTTATATGGACATGGACAACTCACTGTCCCTACACCAGGAGTGTATTTTGTGTACAGTCAGCTTTACTATACAGCACCCTCGGGAAAGAGCTTGAATTATTATGTTTGTGTAAACAGGGTAGTGAAAGTAATGAGTGTCCAGTCTGGGAGACACTCTTTGAATACTATGTCGCACAGTTTCCTAGTGTTGTTGAATGCACTGGATGTGATTACTGTTAAGCTTGGAGATGACAGTAGCAGAGCTTTTCTTGTAGAGAATGCAAGTTTTTTTGGAGCATTCTTGGTTTAAATAATGCATTGGGTGAAGGCAACTATATATTAAAATTATTAATAGCTTATTAAGGGTTAAATTGGGTTAAAGAATGAATTAATGAATACAACTAACATTTTCAAAGTATAGCTTATTTTGTCACTACAAAGTAGTCTAAAAGAATTATATATTAATTTATAGTGTTCAAAGTTTGGGCATGTGCTAGTTTAGAGGCAAGATAAAATATAACTTATATCATAATATTATGTAAATAATTAATGTACATAGTTCACAGGATGCAGTTTGTTAATGAATGATTGTATTGGCATGTTCATTTGTTGTGATTAAGTTTCTGATGACAGTGGCATGGCCCCCAAGCAGTGTTTTGATGTTTATGACACACTGACCCTTTGGTCCTCAAAAAATAAATATCATTGCTCTTTTGCATAACTTGAACAAATTTACACAAGCAGCTGGTCACTCCATAGCCTAGAATTCATAAAACTTGTTTGTTCCAGGAATTCTCAGGCACTGGGAAGACAACCTGGGATTTGCGCACTCAACAGGTGGCATGCAATATGAGAATGGAGAACTCATCATCCCACGTGCTGGAAGATACTATGTCTACAGCCAATTGTACTTTCAAGTAGAAGATGACAGAGCTCATTTGATTCACTTTGTACATCTAAATAGAACTGGTGATCAGCAGGTTATCATGCGATCTGTGACATCAAGATGTCGCGCCAAGAAATCAAAGACGTACCTCTATAGCAGCTATCAAGGTGCTGTTTTTGAGCTGCGCAATGGTGACCACATCCTAGTGGGAGTGTCAGAAGATAACACCCAGTCAATATCAACGGGTGAGTCGGCAAGCTTCTTCGGAGCCTTCTTGGTAAATTAGTTTTACAAAAGTAGGAATAATAATTATATCATGTAGCAATCAATAAATTATGCACCGTTCACATTCACTGTGGAGTAAACTGTCCAAAGTCCAGAGGTGTGGAAGTAATAAGCTGCAGTGAGTAAATAGATGTCTTTGTGCACACAATTTTTCTTCAGAGCAAGGGATGGCTAAGGTGTGACCCAGAAATGTACACACTGGTCAATTGCGCAGCTATTTAGGGAAATTCATATAGATTTGCAGAGGCACTACTTTGATCTATGAGGATCTCATAATCTGTATGAAATTTAAACCTCAATTCACAGACGTTCCTTGAGTATAGGAAGAACATGCAGCTCAAGTAGTGTCTGTTACCCCTGGCTTCATTGAGCTGCACTCCCACTAGCACCCTGCACTAATATACTAACCAACAAGCACATTACCAACCATTTTGGGTTGTAAGTAAACCATAATATATCCAAACTGGAAGTAATATCTGGGTTAAACTGGTAAACAGTTGTTATGTATATTTTAAACGTGGTCCACTGCATCAGTAACGTTTCAGTTTAGCTTTGTGGTTGCAGAATTTCTTTAGGTCCAAAAATTAATTAAATGTGCTCTGAATCCAGTTTGTTTTCTTCTTATGTTATGTTTGGGCACTTAACCGTGGACTGTTCGTATTACTTTTAGTTGCCTTGAATCTATTTACAGAGTCAAACAAGGTGTTCTTTTTATGGGAACTCTGTACTGTTGTAATGCAATTTTCCAACATTGATGGGCAGTTTGGTATGCAGCTACCTTCAAATTTGAATTCAAATATCCTCAACAAAGTAGCTCCATTTGACTTTTGACAAGTTTTCTTTCCAATAGCAATACCTCTGTGTCAAAGAAGGAGAAAGCAGTTGTGCAATAGTTGATGTTTTATTAAGAGATTGAGAGAGAAAAAAGAGCAGGTTAAATTGAAATTGCCAAAGTGAAAATCATGGTTAAAAAGTTCAAATTTGTTCCCAAAGTTGTAGCTGTAGTTTGAAGAGCAGTTAACAGTTGGGTGATTTGAACAATCAAATCCTAATTATATTGAATTGTCAATCAATATTCAAACCTTACTCAGCAGCATTGAGAGTTCTGTCAAAAAGACATCTCATTTGACTGTAAAATTTCCCAGACCTTAAGCAGACGTGTTTATACAGTAGTGTTCTCTTGAATCCATATGCAAGTATTTGAGACTTCATAATCATATTTGCAATGAAAAAATCACTGCATTGGCATTTTGCAGTAGATGCTGTAATTTAGAGCATCGCCAACTTTAAGACAGTGGCAGGCATTACTAGGAACCAATCGCATCTCTTCAGAAGAAAGGCAAAATTGTATCTGCCTTGTGTAGTTATGGGACCTGCGGAACAAGCCGTAACATTATGATACTATCCGTTTGTGATCAAACAATTGTGATTTGCAGTCACTGTGGAGTCCAGTGAGTAGATTCTTGCAGTGGTTGTTTCAAACTCATTGCTAATCTGTCAGTAACAATTGTAATTTGTTTGAGGAACCAGAGACTAAATAGTGGAACTTTACTTGATGCAGTGTTGATCAGTGTTAATTTTGCCACTTTTGTGACACCATTGTTGCCTCTATCAAGGGGTAGATGTGTTGATTATCAAGTAATCTTAATTTTATTAACCCTCATTAACAGGCTAACATTCACCGCACAAAGTAGACATTGATCATTAAGCTTTGCATGCTTGTCAAACAGGCTAATTACTGCATAATTTTGAAATTAAAGGTAGGTTTAATAGCTTGGAATCATGCTGCAAACAGTAAACAACTCTGAATGACCACCTCTACATATAGTTAGAATCCAAATGGTTATTTTTTTGAGGTTATCAAGTCTTCCTGTTTATACCGTTTAAGCAGTCTCAGAATCACATATCAGAAGTAAAAATTATGACAAAAAAATGTGACGTTTTATATTTATTTTTTGACCAAATACAAAACTGATAGACTGACTTGAGTCGCCAAAACTAACATTTGATTATGTATCCAAAGAAGACTCTGCCTTGACTATTCTCCGGAATCAAAGTCTTAAGATGCAATTCCATGTGTACCTCGCATTACAAGTGGACAATTTTAAAATGTAGAAATCTAAGGATACCACAAACTGGTGAATAAATAAGTGTTGCCATGTGATGTCTAACATACAGTTTGTATAAGTAATCAGATGATTCCGAGTGCAATTTGGAAACTAGCTCAAGTAAATACTGTTAAGATTAACAATCATTGCACAAGTCCATGGGGCAAGTGCAATTTGTAGTCTGTAAAACATTTATGAGAGCTTATTCATTTCAAATTACATAAAGATATCATTTCATTACTCGTTAATAATATACATGCAATTTTATTTCAACTTTCTGCAGTATCACATTTTTTCATGTATATCATTAACCAGCAAATTGCACAAATTTCAATTGTATGTATCGACGTTAATTTGTGCTTTTCCCCTTCTTATGCAAAACAATTGTCAGTTCATTAAGACTATTTTATTTGCTGTGTGTATGATTAACTTCCTCCATTTAACTCTACTGACTATATTACCTTCTTGTGGTTATTTTATTTTTGTGTTGTAATTTATTTGCTGTAAAATTGCTTGCTAGCTAGCTAGTTATATCATTTAGTATGACCTCAAAACATACCGCGACACAATCGAGAATATTATTGGTCAGTCACACTAGAAAATAGACCATTACTTAGTTAATCGCATTTTGTGTGGATTCTTGTAACAGAGCACAATCACAGCCAAATAACCATACTGAAAGTACAATGAAAAAACAGTTCTTTCTCATAAAATTGGACAAGTTGGGATTAAGAGCATACTTAGTTTATTAGCAAAGGGTACCATACTCAACTTACGTTCAATAATTTTTATTATAATCTATTTTTGGCCTAGATGTGGCAAGCCAGTTGATATTTTTAGAAAGTTTGAAAAAATGCTGGTGTATTGCCAACGTGTTTCTTATTGAAAAATTTTTTTTGTATCATTTATACTTTCATAACGACTGCATTCTGTGAAACATGCATTAGGGAACTTCTAGTTATGCCGCTTTGTTTGGTGAGTAGCTACTAATCTTAAAACATGGTAAAGGGCTCCGTTAGTCATGATAATTGTAGTGTAAAATTTTTAAATTAAGGAAAGCCTCAATATTTCCAAATGAGATATTAGAGTACTCGCAACTAACTGCTGCAGCTTACAGAGTGCCGAGGCATCATTGAGGGTATTCTTTTTAGTTAAACCCAATGGGTGTTAAAATTACAAGTAATTATAACCAGATTTAACATAGGAATTATCTATGTATGGCAGAGTCCGTTTAGAACGTAAACATATCAGCTTGCTGTAGCGTAGGAGAATTCAGTGGTTTTAATGATTCCATCTGCTGTTAATATGCGTAACAGAGGTTTTCCGTGGAGATTGATCAGAAGTAGTTTTAAGAGTTGTGTCAGGAGGCTATTCAGTATATATGAACGTGTAGATAGTAATTTTCCTTGCATCTTATTACGGATCCTGAACGTGACACCAAATTTCTAGTAGCCCCTCTCTCCCTCTCTCTTTTCCACCAGCTCCTAACCTTTGATCAAGGTAGAGATAAACATTGGAGGTGTAAAACCGGGAGATGAGATCAGAGGGTGTTTTTTTTTTTACCTTCCAACTCAAATACGTTTTCCGATTGGAGGAGAACGTGTCACGTGTCATGGGTCAAAACTCACTATCTCACTAGGGCGAAAAAACTTGATCTTGAACTTTCGATTCGTACGTGGTCAAGTCGTGCACCTTGAAACCTTGCGTCAAGCAAGTAATTTTTTCGCAGTTTGTGCTATTTTTGAGTTGGGAGGTATAACAAAACACTAAATGACTGGCCTTGACCCTCAATGTTCCCCTCGGCTTCCCCTCAGGGAACATTTAGGATCTCAGGGAAATAAAAGTCACTGTTTCCCTACGGGCCAGTCTTTAGAAGATAGAGGGACAGTTTCGTGTCACTGTTTACGTGAAAGGGGGCTGTCGTTCTCCCTCCATGTAGACAACTGGTATTATATCTAGTAATCTGTTCCGAGATTAATTTGAAGTAGGGCACCTGGGTGGTGTTTATCCATACATATCCACTCAGATCTCAGCAATGTTTTTATACAATTTTCAACAGTTAAATGCATTAGACCCATTGGGATGTAATCAGATTTGTCTAGTCATTTTTTTTAAAATATACATTCCTTTGTAAATTATTTACATTTAGAGTGGGAATTTTGTACAATATTTTTGTATCTTCAATGTTGCGCATATTTTTGTACAGTAACTTCATATTTCCAAGATACTGGTTTCTTTGTCTAGAGAGTTGTCTGTGAAGGTAGCTTTGTCTCTAGACAAAGTTATGGCAACTCCATACAAAGCAATATCAGTGGATAGTTCTTGGGAAAAATAAGTGCTTTTAATACTTAAAAGCTTCATATTCTGCTCTGTATTTTTTATGACGAGATATTGTCCCCACAGGCTCAAAAGAAGTTGTTTTTGCTGAACCAAATGAAAGCTATTTTTTTACTACCAATACCACTCCTTACAGTACCAAAATGCAGAATTTATTTTCCAAAATATCGAAAAATGTACAGTAAGACTTCGGTAATGCGCGATAGGATCTACTGTGAATCGACCATATTCGTATGCTCGGTATTAGACTGGAACTAGTGTGCAATAGAGGCTCATGCGGGGGGATATTAAAAAGAGATTAATGTCATTCGCATTTTCCAGCATTAGCCTCAGTTTCAAGCTAGTTCCAGTCCAATACCGAGAATACGACACGAGCGTAGGTTTCATTCCCCTCGCTCAGAGGTTCTTTTGCATTACATTTTTTTGTTATTTACTAGTAGTAAAAACAATTGTGTTTTGTTGAGTTTCCCAAGTCGACTCTCAAGTGTATTTTGCGCCTGTGGTCGTTACTCTTCTCACATCTTCCTTTCTTGATGATTGGAAGCAGGTACAGAGCAGAAGAGCCAGCTTGAACGTGTCTAGTCGGTTTAGAAGGAAAATATTTAGGCTCGGGTAGTCTTGTAATAAAAGCTGGTAATAAAATGTTGTATTTTTATGAGCTGTCGCGTCTTTCATTGGTGGGAAGCCCCATTGGTGGGGAGAGAAATTTGTAAAGAAAGTCGAACCCAACCTAATCTCCCAGCTCCCTTTTATCCAGTCCAAATAGATCAGTGATCCAAGATCACGGTGCATCAAAGGAACCGATGAATCCACTCTGGTCAAGGATTCATCATCGCTTCCCTTGATGCAGCATAATCCGAGTGATCTTGGATCTTTGATCCTGACCCGGCTCATCCCAAAAGAGCACAGCCAAAGAAACTGATGAATCCCTGCCCTGAGTTGAGTTACCGGTTCTTTTGATGCACCATTATCCGAAGGATCTCGCATCACAAATCCTGAGGCAATCATAAAGGAACTCACACTTAGGAGCTCATGTCCACTGGGTTTGTCAAACAATCTCCCCCGCGCTGGAGAAGAGTGGGTGACGAGCCGTGGACACTAAGATGGCAATTCTTTGCCAGTCCAGTGTTTTCAAGCCAAGATATTGCATATAAAATAACTGAACTACTGCGCGCACTCTCATTGGTCGATAGGTGTGGTTAGATGAGAGTGGGTAAACACGGTTGTGACGTTTCAGATTCGCGCGTATTAATTTTTGAGAATTACTTTAACTTGAAAACAGCAGAGTAATCTAGCGAGCTACATGGCTGAACTAAGGACGCGATTGCCTATGGGAAAACGCGCGGAACAACGTAGAGCGAAACGCCCTGGAAATAGGAAAGAGAAAGGTCATGACTGTCAATTCCAAGCCCACTCTTTCCACCACCTGGACAGCTGACGGGTATTTGACATTTTGTTTTCAGAAGGCGGCAAATGCCCCACCGTTTTGCAGCTGGCGCCACAAAATCCCCTGGGTGGGGCCATGAGAAAAGTGCTAATGCCCCACCCACGGGAGAGCGACAAATTAACAAATTGACGTCAGTTTTTTTAATGCGTCTGTCCTCTGATTGATGATAAATTGTGTCATAACATTGTCAAAGTGGAGTGGTTCCGCAGTAATGTTATGACGAAATTTATCATCAATAAGAGCACAGACACAAAAAAACTGATGTCAATTTGTTTGTTTGTTGTTTTTTTTTTTTACAATAATAAGACCCCAAAATGGTCAAATGCCGGGAATAAAGGAGGGAAAAAATGCCGTAACCTTGCCTTTAACGTAAAGATAAGTGAAGTTTATTCAAAATGACGCGAACATTGTCAATAGCTTTTCTTGCTTTTTGATTGGCTACTTAAAAAAGTCCATAAAATCTCATTGGTTAAAAAGTTGGCAGTTTGACAGCTGAAAGTTGAACTTGAAAGCTTGCATAAATTAAAATTTTATCCGTCTGTGCTGTACTCTTATTGATGATAAAAATGAGCCAATCAGCGCGCGAGATATTAGACAGTTATTGTAGAAAATTATATTTTATAACATTGCCGTGCACTCGTAAGCGCTAATAAAACTTGAAAAAAGCACCTTCTGTTTGTGTAAATTGGTTGTTAAAGTTTGATTTTGACTTAGACATGTACTGAAATTTTTTGTATAAAGCGTGCTGAAATCCATTCAAACACGGTCAAAAGTAATGTAAACCCGTGTCGGGAAAGATAAGGACAAACTCGCAAAGACGATCTTTCCAGAGAAAACTTATTGAGAGAAGGCTTATCCCTTCAAACAAAAATACGATCCGTTTAGATTTAACAAATAAAGAAGCCTAAGCCGTGTATTACACTGCGATAAAACACTCCGGAGATTTGAAAACACTTGAGAAACGTAGAAAGCACTCGCCTTTGGCTCGTGTTTTCTACATTTCCCTCGAGTTTTCAAATGCCCGTCGTGTTTTATCACAGTGTAATACACGGCTTAGGCTTCTTTATTTGCTTTATGATATAGGCGAAAAACAACACTTTTTCGTTCTATGTTTTATACTCTGGTAAAACATGGGTTTTTGACCAATCAGCTGCAGAGCACGCAAAGGGTCCTATCTATATTATAATATAAAATAATTACCTTTGAAGGTTTCTATTAAACCCTCTAGGCCCTTTGCTCTTAACCAACGACCAACACATACTCGTTGCTCGCCTCGATTCTCCCGCACGTGGAATGTCTAACATGAATTGAAGGGGAGCGAAGCTGGGACACGAGCTAGTTTCCAATAGGTTAAATCTCAGGAAATAATTTACATCCACGTTGTTTACGTATGGTTAATCCTCTTGACTTAATAATAAAGCAAGCTTTCGTCTTTACAAAGTATCGATTTATAATTCTTGTTATTATATGGAGAAGAGTGTTTTACTGGGAACTAAACCACTCGTAGATTCCATACGCCACTTCATCCGGGACCCGAGTGGCGTATTTTCCGTATGT